GAACTTGTAAATGGATGGTTTTGTAACTGCACCTTCCCTTCAGCAAAACATTGGGGGTTTCTGTAGTGAAGAATAGGCTTGTGACACACGGGCATCTGCCGAGGAGCGCAGCACAAAAGGATGCTGCTCGTGGTGCACGGACTCTAAACGCTGATCAATGTCATCATCTCCACACGCGGCACGGGAAAAATTGTATTCGAAAGGACGGCTAATATTAAACTCCGCTGTGCTATACCCTTACACAGTGAAGAGCACAACCTTATCGTAACACTTCTCAGTATTTGTATTAAGACAGTGGATATCCCTCGAGACAGACCCTCAAAATTAATAAAACACTTGAGACTAACTTGATTTATAACACCTGTCTTGCAATGCATTTCAAAAAACTCAGACTTTTTCAATGGTCCAATTGTGGCTCATTCTAGAGAAATGCAGACTGACCAGCTCATCTTAATCCTTATCTGGTTTTGGTGTGTCTCCTTTGACTATAATCTTTGATAAAGGTAGTATCAGATAGTTGTAAGGGCTTTTGTCAAAGAATCACACAGTTCTGTTGCTAAACTAGTAGCTATCAGCCCAGCTGACCTGGAAATAAAAGTATTTACTCTCTTGTTGGAATTTTGGTAAAAATTCCCAGCATCCAACTGCATTTCAAATGCTGAATCTCGATGAACTCTAAATTGCAACTACATGTAGAACGTTTTCACAGGTACAGTCTGCGTGCTGTTATAATTTGCTCACAATACAAGGGACAGCCATCAAGCCACATACAGTCACATTCCATGTGTCACAACTTCCTGAATATCTAACCCAAATCTTATAAATAAAGTGGTACCTGTTAAATAGAATGGACCATATTAAGTACGTTCATATTTTGCTGAAAAAAAATGTGGAGGAGCAAAGAACACATGGAAATATGAACATTATGGTTTCTTTTTCTAATTTTGCTACAGACTAGGGATTTGCTGAGTCAAAAGACGGGATCTGGTGAAAACGTGCATCACGTATCACTAGTGCAAACCTTTCTTAACCATTCTTACCGAATTACTTGTAGCCATAATTAATCATCTAAAAACCATCAAGTCAAACTAACATCTACACCTGCCTTTTATTTTAAATGTCTCTTTTTAAAAGAGTGGAGAGGTATGGAAAGCTGGTTTAACAAGCACACTGAACCCATTGTTTATGGCCTCTATAAACATGGCTTAGTAAGAATTACCGACTTAATCAGAGAGAACTTATCTCCTGGTGAAAAGAGCACTTTAAATTTCAGAAATGGCACCTTTACTGTGAAAATCCCTTAACTTTTCAAACAAACTCCAGGGGGCCTTAAACACCAGGTCAGTAAATAAGCAGCAGTTAGTGCGTCTGTCCTGCTCACAAGCAGCCAAACACTTGAAGTAATTTAAATGTTTTTATGTGAAAGTTTGCAAAAACACTGAGAAACTATATTCTAAGAGAAGTAACCAAGGAGTGTTCCTCTGCCTCACTCAGATTAAGTGCTAGAAGCAATATTCATCAATTAGACCAACACCAGTTTATACTAAACGTTATTTTATCATCACTGTCTACTGTTGGCAGTTTCTGCATTTCCTACCATAAAAAAATCCTAAGTTAAACTTCTTTCAGATGAACAATTTTATTGTTCATTTAACAAACCCACAGCCAAACACCCCCAAAAACCAGGTTTGCATAACTTCATGGCTAAACTGGTGCCAAAACAAATCGAGTTGATCGTGAGGTTTCATAACTGGATACAAATGCGATCGACGTATCAAAAAACGTTGTAATGGAAAAAAGAAAATGTACCTTCCACCAAATCTTTTGGAAAGGTAAAACTCAATAAAAACCTAACATTCTCAGTAGCTTAGTTTCTACATTAATTTTGAAAGTATGATTTACAACAGGTTTAAAATCCATTTGCTTAATGACTTGTCTCTACTTAGTTAATAGCTTCCATTTATTTTTAAAGAAAAACACCACAACACTGCAGACAACAATGTGTCAATCTGGCTGCCAGAAGCAGGAAAAGCAGCGGATATAAAATTTTATTATTTCATGCCCCAAGAGCAGCCAGAAGGACTTAATGAAATCACCCTCAGATTTACAATCTGAAATAGCTATTCAACAGACAAACCTGGTTAAGCGGGATGTGCCCCCTGACCTCTCGCCCTTTGATCTGGGCCCAGCAGGTGGGCTCTCGCCCCCCCAGCTCCCACCCTTCCGCCACCCCGGCCCTGGCCGCGGCGCCCTTGGCCGGACAGGTGATTCCCCAGATCCTTATCGCAGGCAGCTGCTGCCAACTGAGTGACAACCGCCACGAGGGCCGCTCCAACCACTGCCCGGAAGAAGAAAAAGCTGCTCCGCTTACTGGTCAGCCCGCTCGGTCCCGCAGCGCTCGTCTGCCTTGGAACTCACCCCTCAAGCGCCCCCACAGACAGAGTCTCATGCTAAAACGAGGTTTTTATTTCTGATAACTGTACAAAAGACCATTCCGTAAGTGACCTGTCATATTTCAAAATGCATTTTTATCAATACTCCTGAAACCACGTACAGCCATATTTATAGTATTTGTGAGCGACTAAGCTGCATGTAGCTCTTTCAGACCTGGATTTAAGTTTATCTATATAACCGTTCATTTAAACCCTGTAAAAAAGCGACACTTCTTCACTCACAGCTATAAAAGGCAGTAACGTGCTAAGTATAAATGGATGGACAAAGCTAAATCTTACCCCTCGCTCCAATCAAAAAAGGTAATTAACAATTAACACTACCACCGAGAGACGCGCACGGTCAGTGAATTCTCAGGGTGTGTTCTGCAGCAAGGGGAAACCCCGCGGCACTGCCAGCACCGAGCCCGAGCTGACGCAGCCGGTCTCTCACTGCGCATCAGCTCGGGCTCCCTTCACGCTAACTGGCACGTTATCAGACGGGATGGCAAACAGAGCATCCTCACGCCTACCTGGGAAAAAAACAGGTAAACATGTCAAAAAGTGCTTCCAGAACACATGCATGAGAGTCGGGAGTTGTGAGCACACAGCTCTCCGTTCATCTGTCTGCACATGGACGGACTACTGACGTTATGTGAGACCAGATGTGTCCTACCATACTAAACACAGCGTGAATTTTAGTGAATCTTCTCCTTACGTGAACGTATTTACTTATAGCGGGTTAAAATAAAAGAAAAATCTGTTCATACAGGTTTTACGATATGCATGACTGTCCTTTATGCTTCAGAAAAACGTTCGAAAATCATCCTGGGAAATGCAATGTGATGTTTCACACACGAATTCCTTCTGGAAAATCTCACAAGAATTAAAATCCTGAAGTCCCAGAAAAAGTCCTTGAGTGACTGGAATATTAAAAGAAGCAAAAGAAATCCTTTTCTAACCATTAACTCTCAAGGCTGGGTTTGTGCCCTGAAGGGAGCATGAAAAGGGTGGGCGTTATTGTGACTTGGATGACTGGGAGCCCGGCGCAGGAGCGTGCACTGCCGGCAGCTCAGGATCTGACAGCTACAGAACTATCCCCACCGGTTAATCACAGCCACATGGGCCTAAATTCCAACAGTCTGCTAGGTCAAGGGCATTCCTCTTCCATCAGCATCATCACACTAATAACCTTTCCTACAGAAACAGTTGCTGAAACAATCGTTTACTATGACAAAAAATACAAGACTGCCAGCCAGGTTTGACACCGCTTAAAAAAACAAAGGTCAATTTACTATAATCTGAACACTGAAATAGCGTACACTATGCGGGTAGACAACAGAACAAGATTATGAAAGGGACGCGTTCATTCGACAGAATTTCATTTGCCTATCTCATTATTTATCAGTACTAAGTACTTATCTTCATCTAATATGAATTCAATTAGTTCCGTAAGCATGTTCCATTATTCATGTGATAGCTCCAGCCTTGCTTACCCAACAGCTTATAAACTTTTAGCCTTCTTTGAAGTCACTTTATGGATTGCTAAATGGAAATCTTATAAAGAATGACTAACTAGGTGATGATAGAAAAGCTGAAAAATAAGAGCACAAAGCACAGCTCTCTATTTTCCACCAAGGTTTTCCCTCATAAATCAGTTGGAGCCCTCTGACCTATAACAGGAGATTATCTTATCTCACTGGAGAACATTTCAGTCACAGCAAATTAGATTTAACAGTCAATGGATACGCTTGATATTTTAATCATAAGAAAAATTTGTCATTTTCCATTAAAACCACTGCTCCTTTTACAGACAGCCCGTGTAACACGGGAAGCTGCAAGCTAACTTTAACATACAAAATGGTTTGAAAAAAAACTGTTAAGGTGAGAGAGAGGGTGCATTTTGCTTAAAATCATTAACATTTCCGCTGCACTTCTTCCAGAGGACCCTTTCCAAGTTAGGGATCAGCAAACAACCACAGAAACAACGCTAAAGCTAGAAAATAATGGGATTTTCCCTACCTCCCAAATGCATCCTCCCCTTTACACCAGGGCTTTCTCTGCACAACTTTAGGCCTCCACTAACATTTACACAACAATGACAAATTCCGCAACGGGAGCTGCGGGAGCAGAACCCTGGGCCTGTAGACAACGGCAATCGCTCCCACGGGGCCCTACAGTAGATAAAGAGTCCACCTGTCTTATCTTAAAGAGAAGACTGGGGAATTAATGCCTATCCTGAAACCAGAACATGAGGATTAACAAAACATACCTAAAGATCTATTTGCTGAAATTTCAGCACTTAAAGAAAAATTAATACTGAACAACAAAATTATTTTCATGTGGAAAAATTAATACTTGGTATTTTAAGAAACACACAACTTTTAGATCAGAAGAAAGAAATTGCTGTTGCTACTAAGCTGGTATTCTAACAAATAAAATACAATTTTATACCTACATATGAACAGACAAAGAGAGTACGCTTTCAGCATCGAAAACAGGCAAAGAGGTAAACTTGTAATCATCTGGCTCCTTTGACAAATGTTACCTTTCCTTTGCCCAAGGAACAGCAAAACTACGTAGTACTTGCCAACAAATAGATACAATAGCCCACTGTGTGATTTTGGTTTTAGATGGAAGATGCATTTCTAGCTGGAAGGATTCAATTTATCCTTAAGAGCAGAGGGAGGAGAGAAGACAGTTCATTTTATTTATTTATTTCATAAGGCACTTTGAATAACTGTACTTTGCCAAAGTGTGTCTGTGTTCCAGAATCTCCGGCTATTCAAAAGCCATACTGGATTTAGTACTAAACAGATTTTTTCAAAATGTTACTAAAATGGATGAAAATTGGCTTCTCCAAGAACAACTCCTTTTTTTGAGTTTTTGCAGATGGAGTTTGGAAGGCCTACAGAGCCCTGCAATCTGAGAAACCGAGACAAAGGAAGCGGTAATAGGGTTTTGTAGCAAGGCAGGAGTGAGACATCATGCTAAGCAACTCCAAGGTGTAATTACTAATTTTTCTCTATACCCATCGCCAGGCTAACCACATAGCTCTTTCTGAGAGAAACATTTGGGAAAGGTGACATGTATCTGCACTGATATATCACCCCATCCCCTATCAGGTCTCTTCCTTCTTTTCCAACTAGACAGATACCACAATAAGCACGTCGATGCTTACCTTGTGCAGATACGGGGCAGAAAGTTTATTGATCAATACGAAAAGCATATGCTAGACTATTTCTTCTGAAATACTACTTTGGTCCTCCCTATGCAGTATTCAAGGGTAATTATCAGACACCCCTCTGACATAAGTGTATGATGTGCAAACAAATGTATACGTTGACTTCTAAAATAATTGCTTACTCACTAACACATTGTACTGCAGTTCTGTACTTCATTTAGCAATATAAAGGGCATAAAAATCACCTATACCCAGGGAGGTAAGGGAAAAAGAAAAAGAGGTCCGGTCACACTGATGCTGGATAAAGGGGGAAGTTCCACAGCATACCAGGCTAAGTTGTAACTCACACATACACAGAGGATCATTCTCCCATACATATGCCTTAGCGAAAGAATATATTTGAACAGTATTTCCAGAGAAAGTACACATTTGCATGGATAATATAAGAAATAGTTAGTTTTCCTCAACAGTAAGCCAAAATTCCCAAACACGGGTGTGTAAAAGAAGGCCACAAGTCAATGAACTTTCAGGGGTGTTTGCAACTCCTTCCCGTTCACCCCAGGCTGCTCATTTCAGAGCCCAGACGGAGGCGACGGGCTGGGGGCAGGAATCCCGAGCTCAGGCCCCTTGCTCAGGCTTCCTGTGCAAAGGGGCACAATTAATAAGGGCTCAGATTTTCATAGGGATCTAAATTAATAGCTTATGTTGTCCTCCAGATACTTTTGAGGAAAGTCATCAACTGTTTCCCGAGTACTAGAAGCAAAAGCAAATGTGCTATTTCCACTTTTAGAGTTTTTAAAAAGTCACATGAATTACTCTGAATTGTTTATATGTGAAGCTTTCTGTGAGGGCTGGTTTTCTGCCAGCTTTGTGTTAACATTAACAGCAAGTTCCTTCTTTTCAGATCTTTGAACATTAAAAAAATTACAATCTGTCTGCAAAAGCCTAAAAGAGAACTGTAACTGTCAACATTTTGGTTTAATATCGATTCTGTCTTTGTGAATACCGAGTCAAACCAAGGCAGCAACCTGATTAAATGAAGCAACAGGGTGGAGAGGGGAACACGACGTGAGCTCGTCACTGACTGCTGATCTGCAAACAACAAGTGTGCCCAGAGAGCACACGGGATCAAATAAGACTCCCGTAAGATTTCCCATTATCACGTATGCTTAACTTCAGTTCTCTCAGCACTCCCAAATGAACAGGATTATTGCATTTTTAAGCATATGAATGAATGTATAATTGCCTGCAGAATTTGCATCTAAATCATAAAAACATACAGTTTCAGAAATAGTGAGAAAGACTTACCTCCATCAAACTTAAATGTATTCCAATGAGGTAGGGCATTGGGGCACTGCGAAGAGAAAACACCCCAGCTTTACATTCTCATAACACCGGCTTAACACATACGACTTACAAAATCAGCTATAGGAAAATACTGGGACTCTGGATTAGATTTTGCTTAAAAAGTAATAAAAATAAAAATAATAAAAATATATACATAAACCACATGCAAAATTTTATTTCATATTTGAAAGACTTTTCTTACTATGCAATATCCTCTCACTATGGTAGGACTTGAATTTCTCTTCTCTCAGAATTTCTAACTGACTAAGTTAAGACAGGTACATAAGGACAACTATTAAACATATCTACAGTTCCAGCATCTTTTTTAATAAAGAAAAAAAACGTGTTATTACAATTTGCAGAAAAAATACACAAAACTTTTTCTAAGAGTATTCTTTGGAAAAAACTCATCCTGTTGTAGTATTAAGTGGTTCATTTAGTGCACACATATCACCCAGTACTACAAGTTTCAAATCCTCTGAATACGGGTCCAGACACATTTCAAAATGCTTATTAAGGATAAATCTCAAAACATTTACATTTACAAAAGTAAACCACAGAAATTTCTTTTGAAGATTCTGACAAACTCCAGAGTTACTGGGATCTGCACTGGTACTCCAACACAGGTGTGACGCTTCCATTATCAAACCGAACGCTCACGGTGTGCAGAAGGATTGATCTTTCCTGTCTTCTCTCTGACGATGCTAGCAAACACCAGGGCGGACGAGAGAGCCCAGGAAGAATGCTGAATGAAAGTTGTGGGTTTGTGTGTACAGCATTTCTAATATTAAGCTTATTGCAGGACTCCCACTCAGCTAATCAGGGAAAGCTTATATTTGCACTGCTTATTAGAACACATCAAAGAGGATGCCAAAGCTGCTAATTGCAAATATGGCATATACTGCCTGTTAAACGGAAAGCGCACAGACAGACACAACTTTTAAAATAGAGCCTCATTTCATCTTGGATACAGAAGCTCAAAGAGCTCATTTTCAATTTCAGATGAAAAAATGAGAGAAATGTCAAAGTACTGCCTTGGATTAAAATATCTTCCATATTGCTTTTAGAAACTGGTGCCTACTGCTCAGTAAGAGAAGTATCACACTGAAAAAACTACTGCAAGACATCAGACCAGCAAAAATCACTCTGCTTCTCAGTTTCATAAGAAATACTTTCAAAAACGTACTTACTTATATGCATATTAATATTTATGATGTTTATTAATATACTCCCTAAAACTGCAGATCTGTTGGACGCTATACCAAGAGATGGAAACAGCTTCTGTATTAGACGTTCTACATGAAAACACTTTTTTTCTTTTCTTTTTGAAGACATTACACATGCGTAACTTCTAAAAACCCCTTACAAGTTCATCTGCAGAACACCAAAGCGCCGTGTATCACCTTACACTACGACTTACCAAACTGCCTGGCCCCAGTGCGGCACCCTATGGCAGCCCAGAGGGACTGTTAAATCACACAGTAACTTGGTACAAATCCAGCAGGTTCTGCTTCCCTGGGAATTCCACAGATGAGAACCAAATTCCTGGAAAGCCATTTTAACCATGCAGCATGATACACACTTACTACATATGGATTGCTGCTCAGCTGAGAAGTATTTTTATTTGTCATTTTGCATGTTTTATTTGCGACAAACGCTATCTCTTTCACCCACATCTCTTCCTTTCCAATGGCCACGTTCCAGGAGAAAGAAAATACCCAGTAATTTTATATTCAAAGTATAAACCACTGGTTTAGCTGCCAGCTGCACAAACGCTCGACTTCCCCGTGTGCCTGGCTACGCTGTACAAGACTCCTCCAGTACGCACTGAAATCAATGTGTTTCTAATTAAGTAGTTGCATGAACACGACAGCTTCAATCTCAAAAATACAAAGTCTGAACCTCGGCAGGAAGTCTTAAGACTGCAAGTGTCTCATCTAGTGGAACCTTGGCTAAGGTAATGAAAGGAAGCAGGAAGAGTGCAGTATTCCAGAAAACCAGGCATTTATTAACGTGCCCAAAAGTAGAGTCTGTCACCAAGCACAGGAAACCCTGAACCTGTAAAAGTTAATTAGCTTGTCCATCCTTCAATCCTCCAGTTTATCAACAGAAGAACAATAAGAATGTCTAAACCCTTAAAACCATGCACCCTCAGTAAGACTTTACGGAATTGCACAAAACATAGAGCTTACAATCTACGGATCAGCTTTGGATGCAATGAACTATCTTTTCAGTGTTCTAGTGGCACATATCACGTCCAAAGGCAATACAGATATTTAACTATTACAGGGATTGCATAAAGGCTACAGTAACCGGACTTTCAGCAGTGTTTTGAAGGCTGTTATTTCTCTAAACTTGCATTACCAGACATTAAAGGACTCCAGCCAAGCGCTTGCGGGGCTGTTCCAGTGCATACACTGGGGCAGGCAGGAGAAAGCAGGAGGAACGATTTGCTGCTGTAGAACTGAGGGTGGTTTTAGCACACCCGCTGCTAGAAAAAACTGCTCAGGTTTTGCTGATCCATACGAAAAATGAAAGTCTGAAGCAGAAATTTGTTGTGGTATAATGTGCTAGTTTTGCAAATATTTGTGCTGGTCTCAGGAGTAGGTGCAGATATTTCCATGAGGGAATGAGGCAGAGCACAAAAGATGACATTGGGTGTTTGTTGGAGAAATATTTAACACGTGGGTGAAACACTGGACCAGGGGGCACTGGGAGGTGACACTGGTGCAGCGAACGCCGAGCAGACGAGGCACGTGCTGTGAAGGGCCCTGGAAGATGTACAGCACGTTTGATGGTGAAGAGAAGATGGGGAAAGTGGAAGGCTCCCATCAGGCTTCATAAATTGCTTTTATCACCATTCTTCTTTATCGTGTGTTGATGATATGTCACTGCTTACACACTCAGCTACTGTCCTGTCCGAGGGAACGTTGCGCGCCCCCTCTCCCCCATTCTGAGTGCGCTGTGATAGCTCTTCCCAACTGCTGTTCAGGTCTTGAGACATGAAGTGCTCAAGCAGTTTTTAAACATTTTATCAGGTTAGATGTGTATTTCCAAGCCTTTCAAGTGCACTTCAGTAAGACACATTGCTTGTATAAACGGGAGAATCACTCTGCACAACCTTTGATTCTTCTGGGACCCGTGACAGATCCAAGACTGCCCTTCAGACCAGTCCCGACTGACTGCTTGACACTTCATCAGTCCCGAGGCTTCTTACAACCACAACTGCTAACAACTCAAAGTTGTTTGATGGCAGCCAATATCCATTAAGCGCAAAATTAAGAAGTATCAATTCTTACTGCGCATATTTATCGCTTCAACAAAACGCCTGCCTAAGTCTTCTGGAACAAAGAGGAAGGCTGTTACTCGTCTCGTGCTACACTGGTTCCCAATGCAATCAGCGTTATTTATAATCAAATGAGTTATATAGGTAAATATCAAATCATTAAAGTAGCAATGCATAAGCATGAATATGGATATTGTGGACTTAATGGCTATATATTGCCCATTTATTACAGCTGCATTTTACAATTTCTTTAATTCGTTTCCTTAGGCTAACTAGAGATCTCTTAATTATGCTCCCAAGAGGTGGGCAACTACTAATTGGAAGAGAAGCAGGTGAAATAGAGGGACATTTCCTCTTAAGTGAAAAAAACCCACCCTTAAAAAATACTGCATTTCACCGGAAAAAGTAATGTAAACCCCAAGGAGCTCCAAAAGGTTCACAGTTTACAGTTACACAGGGATTTGCACCGTTTACTTTCAGTGTTCCAGGAAAAGTGATTAGATCACATTTACTAAGTTCATGTCACGATACACAAATAGTGACTTAACCCATTGCTCTTTTACACCAGTAGTGCTTTACTTTCTGAGGCAGTCTCCTCCTTTCTCTTTGGATTGCTCACTGAAATGCAACTGAATTCAATCTGAAATTTATTGGGGCAATGGATGCAAATTAGAACTTTGCCTGATGAAATGGGAATGATGCAGGAAGCACGCAGCTCAGAAATCAGAAGAGCAACTACAAGAGCTTTCAGTGAGCACAGATGTGCCAGGCTAAATCAAAATGCCTACCAAGAGGCTCCTGACGAAGGAATCATTGTTTCCAGAGCAGCAGGAGTACTCACCCTCCAGTTACCCCCTCCACCTACTTAAAGGAGGATATTGAACTATATGCAGATTTAGAAAACAGGAGAAAGGGAGTTTAAAAAAAAACAACTCCTGGAGAAAGGGAAAACTGCACCAATAGAAAGGTTTGCCCAGCAGCTGTGCCAGGGTGCTCTAAAAAGGTGGCTCTTAAGAACAGATTAATTCTGGCTGCTAAGCAGTCCATCTAATAAAAAAGGCTGTTGCTTCTGGTAAAAGCCCACAGAATAACTCAAGTGACAAAGCTCTGCGACTTAGAGAACATACTAAGCTGTGTTACCAGGTCAGCAAAGGCAGGCTTTACTTACAGGCTAATTTTAAACACAGACACCGAGAGCAAAAAGGAACAAAACAGACACAGTGGGAGTGTTTGCATGCCGCATGAAAAACAAACGGGAAGAAGTAGTGAGGAAAATTAATAGACTGTTCCTTTCACATCAAGAAATGTTTAAATTCCCAACAGGAAAATAGATGGACAAAGTCTGGCCAAATCTAGGGAGTGGTACATGCTTGGTGGCAGTATCTCATTAACCAGGACTTTTGGCACCTGCTGGCATATAGGGTTTTTCTTAAAAACAAACAAACACACACAAATCCAAACCAAGAAAAAACAACCAGCAGCGCCTCACACAGCTCTCAACAGCTAAAGGGAACTGTCCACACCCTGCCTGAAGTTTCTCTCATGAGAAGCCACTTCAAGTGGCAGGAGGAGAGTTCGTTGCCCTACCCATTTGCTCTCTGCAAGGAGAGCAATTCTACCTTTTTGTAGCTCTGGAAAAATCCAATAGTTGTTGTGTCCCCCTTCTCTCCTCAGCAAATAAAACAAATTCCAAATTTCACAGCCACGGAGCTGTCATTGTATCAGTTGAGACCTTAGAGGTTTCCTTTATAAAAAAAGTTTCCACTGCAACTAAAATGATTAATAGCAAATAATCACGAGTGCAATATGCTTCTTTCAAAAACTTCCAAAGATCAAGAATAACAAAGTTTATACACCATTTTCCAAGGAGCAGAAGACTCAGAAATATCACGCCGCGCTGTCAAGAAATTGATGCAGTCAAATGAACACAATGGGTTTGTATTCATAAGAACCGAAGAATTCTTGTTACTTTAAATTTTGTTTCCATTTCAGCTCTTTAAAATTTGTGTGTTACATTTGCAAAAGAAATAGCCTGGCAATAATTAAACTAAACTATTTTAAATTATCTCAGGTCATTTCCCTCAAGAGGCAGACACCAATAAGCAATAATACCACCTTAAAGCAAAGAGCAGGAGCTGATTCTCAGTCCTCCTAGGAAAAAATGACGTCTCTGAGTTCACTTGGTTACAAAGTACATGGACTCTATTTTGAGAAATACATTTATGGCACATAAATTGTTGCTAAATTGACATTCAAACAATCACAGTGTGTGTAGCTACCGCTCCAATTAAAGTTTGTATCTGGCTAAGGTAATCAGTTGTTGTATTTGTGAGCACGCTATTACAAACTGCCTAATAATTACACATGTTTAAATCATACTTTTCACACACTGGCTGCCTCATTGGTTACATGGACAGGGTGTTCCACCGTGAAAGAATCCATTCAGTAGAGCTCAATGACTTGTGTCTTTATTTCCTTCGGTACACTGCCCAAGTGTTTGCTTTTTGCACACTTCTGCTCCCAACTGCGGGATCTGGACTTAGCCCCTTTTAACATGTCTTTGTCAGAAAGTCGATGAATACCTAATCTTCAAACCCAGCGTAAAAGCCTCTTGTGGTCCACACCGTTGTCCTGAAAACTCGGAGCAGCATGTACCTGAAGAAAAAGCTGGCAGCAGCCACCTTCATGTGTTAATTACAGATGCGAAGCCCATTATGCAGAGAAAGGGCACCTGCTGGCAGTGCAAATGGCTTGATCTGCCCTTCCTGTGCAGCGAGTGAATGGAAGGTTCATTTCCACAGGAGATAACAGTTCTTAGATTCCCTTCAGTGTATCCTCGACACAGGCACATACTTAACATTTAAATCATCTGCAGATGAACAAGCTTCCTTTAAATCTACACGTTTCAGTTCCTAGCACTTCACTTAAAAAAACTAGTTATCCCTCCCAGCTGGTTCCTTACTCTTGCTTAAATGCAGAGAGAGCACCACGGAGAACACTATCGCACTTAAAAACCCAGCCAAGCGCCACACCAAGAGTCACACTTAAACGACAGTATCAGATGACGCAGTAAGGTTAAGTTTGTTTTTTCCTGAGAAAGACCTTTTAAAACACCAGGGGCAGAGGGAGCCTGTTCCTGTGTTTCCAAGCCATTCCCCAAAGTGCATTAAGCACCACACTCTCACAAACATTTCTGCTACACCGGGAGCTCCGGGAGGCCAGCCCGGCCAGGAGACCTTGCCCGCAAAGACAAAGGCACCGAGTCCCTCAGCCTTTGCCGTGTCCTTCAGCACTTGACTACGTGACCACCCAGCAGCAGGCCCATGTTTTCCTTGTGCTCTCCTTTGACTTTCAAGCTTATAGAAACCTCATTACCCTTTACATTCCCCAGTTTAACTCCAGGCAAGCTCTGGCCTTTCTAATTCCATCCCTACGTGCCCAGGCAACAATTCCAGTAACTCTCTAACTGGGCTTGGAAGTTTTAACTTCTCTCAGAAGCCTAAGGCCACTCTTTCTGGGCAAACTTCATCTCCCTGCTATGTACACGGAAGGAAAAACACAAACCACAGAGTCCAAGACATACACCCAACGACACACTCATCTGCAGCCCCCAACAGTGAAGCAGGAGGCTCCTTGGGCCACCGGAAAGGTGTGGAATCACAAGCACCAGCTGGAAGGCACTTCAGAAGAGAAACTGGTCCAAGCTCCCAGTCAAAACAGGGGCAGCTTTGACATCACATGAGGTTGCTCATGGGCTGCTCATGGGCTGTGCCAAAATTTGTCAAATCATGATAATGACTTTTTCAAAGGTTTCTATTCATTCTCCTAAACAAGGTAAATACCGTGTTCTAAACACATACTGAAAACAAAAGATCACCACAGGACAATTAATAGCTCCCCCTCTGTCCTCAACAGAAGTTCAGGAAAGCAGAAAACCAAGAGTAACTTCTCCACTGTATTCTCTGCTCTTGGAGTCTTAATTCAAATTTTAACACTTAACCCCAACACACTGAAAACAGATTTAATTACACAATATCCGAGTTGCAGCATTCCATAATAACTACTCATATTAGAGTATTTCAACATACCAATAGAAAACTGTAACTTGCCATGAATTTATTTTTTTTTTACTTACTTGGTTGGTTGCTCCCTTAATATGCCTATATATATTTTTAGAGTAACAGTTGCATCATAAGAAGGCTTAGGACTTACTACAGAGAAATATGAAAACTGGTGTGAATCTAAGTGATATATATATGGATACATAATACATACACACACACAGATATAGCGCCTTACCAACAGTAGTCCAGTAGATGTGGGGGCAGGACAGGAATGTAAACGTGCTGCCAGAACATCGGGTAGAGCATAGCTGCAGACCCATGAATGCAGGCAGTTAACTGAAAAACACAGATTGAAACAGGATCATAAATCTGACAAAAAAACAAGTGTAAGAAGGCAAAGTTAGAAGGAAAAAAACCCATAGAGTCAATTCTGCTTTCATATCAACATGCTCTATCACAAAATACACAGTGCTCTTTAACAAAGTGGTACTGGTGGCTGAAGCATGACTGAAGCACCATAATAATGGTCGTCGTCATTCAAGGGACTTCATAAACAGTTGGGAACCGATTCATTCAACAAACAAAACCTGCAGATAAAACCAGCGTTCTATAAAACAACAGGAACGTGGAAATGAAAACACAAAAGAAACTAAAAAATAGTGAAGGCAAACACCTCAATCCTGGCAACTACTATCCATTAAAAATCATAAAACTGCATTGAAATTATACCATAAACTGTATAAATTCTTAAGAATATATCATGCTGTCATTCAGGTTTTATTATTTGAAAGAGATTTTTATTTAATTGCCCTTCACCAAATCATTTGATCCACTCAATTTCTCAGTTATATTTCTAAAAACTCATTCAGAATAGTTTTGATGTTGGCAGGTACTGAGTGAAAAAGAACACAACGAGCAAATACGAGTGCCAGTCAGGCCGTGGGGAGAATCCGCACAGCACCCTGGAGGAAATTACGTCTCTCAATCCTGTTTCAAACGATAATTAACAATTTGGAAAAGAAGATAAGCAGGATATTTGCCACATTCACTAAGGATATTAAAAGCAAGAACATGGTAATCTTCAAAAAAAAGGAAATCTCAGCAAAAGCTATAATCACGCAAAGAAAAGACTGAGAGGCGACAGGCCATCCCACCCACCCCGACTGAGCTCTGCAGCTGAGAGTGTCTTTTAATCTCAGATGATACCCAGCACAAGGGCTACAATGAGTTTCACCTGAGAAGCATTTCTGTACTTTTCACTGTTTTACTCATCATTTTTTATTTGGAGTAGACAAGCACTCAAGTCATACTCACGGCGTGGGCAAACCACGAACATATCTAGTGGCATTATGACCTCTGTTTTGTTCTCAACTCCCTCCATAATAATTTCTTGGCTTCTAAGCCTTCAACTGAGTCATAAGTTGGCATTTTCATAGATCAGTTTCTCTCTTCTTTTAAAAAAAAACCCCTCCAGTATCTCTGAGTGGTAATAATTACTTCTGTTATTCAGGCCATGATTGCTTACATGGTTAAAAGTGTTTTCTCCCATAAGCATTATTTAATATTTTCATGTTATGCAATGAAATGACTGCTACAACATTTTCTGTCCTTTTTAAAAATTGTTTTTCATGAGGTTCCAGAATTGAGCACTGCCGGACTGCTTAGCAACCTCCAGGATTATGAAAATTGAAAAAATTTCTCACCCTTTTTCCCTCAACCTTTCAGCCAGTTGCTCACCCTAAAGAAGATCAAACTCGTGTATGCCACAAAAATTTCTTTCATAGTGTTGAAGAATTCAATATCATTCATCCTCATCTAGTTTTTTAAAGATTTTTGAGATTTGAGACACGGATTTCTTTTGCAAAGGTCATATTTATTCTTCCCCAGTAGCCTTTGTTTGTGCATTCAGTAGTTGGAGACCTCCCTGTGAAAGCAAGTATCTGAACAAGTACCCGTTCAGCCTTTCTCAGTAAGAAAGCTCTTTACTACCAAGCAAATACTATTTTATGGTCCATGTGGGATGGAAACATTAGTGTGTTGGGACACTAATTAAAGCAAAAGTTAGAAGCTACAAAATCTGGAATTTGCTCTATGTTTATGAGTCACAAAAGATTTATCCCTATGCCATTCTATTTCAATTTAGCTTTGCATTATACCTACTGGAGAAGATGTTCCTCTCCCACAGGTAAGTCAAAAGGCAAAGCTTAGTTCCAAAAGATGGAGCCGACAAAGAGGGCATGCTCTCCCAATGTATTTTTTCCTCCACATTCCTAAATCCTTTATGTTCTCTGTTTCTATTCTCCCAATCAAAGAGATGGCTGAATAAAACCACTGTTTAAAATATTAATTCTTACTTAAAAATTGCTTCTATGAGGATCAAATGGATTATTTCCTGGCATTATTACATGACATGGTTGCTGCTGTAGAGGTGTGAACTCAGTAATCCAAGCAGGCCCTTCCAAGCCCCCCCTCCCATCGGTTTTAAAACTCAGCAAGAAAAGATTAAACAGACATAATGCTCAACACTGCAGACATCTGAGCAGAACCTGTCACTTATTTTTGAGATGTACTCCCACCTTGCTATCTGGTATGAATTCAAATAACATACTACCATGGGTAAGCACCAGTACTGTCCTTCAACTCTGCCAAGATAAGGGCTCATAAAAAAGAAATAGCATATTTGCTGGAGACCTCACCTGATTAGTGACTGCCACACAGAAAACAAGCACTTAATAATAAGGCAGCCTGAGAAATGCCCAACTGTCAAAACTATAGGAATCCAGCATTTTGAAACGAGATTAGTTCCACTACCTCAGCTTTCTGCAGCTGTTGCTAGAGAGTGTAAAAAGATAGCTCTGTAGGAAAGACACTGATTCACTAATGCACTTTTTGCAGTTTTCTGTTTAATACTCTAAAAGGCTTATTTGAGCAAATTAAATCAATGGGATTTTGCAAAACATACACAAGTTATAAACTGCTGTTGAATTGTAAGAGGCCGTTTTCCAGAGCATTTCACTCTCTCTCCCCTGATGCACAGGCACTGCACGCCCTCACCGGCAGAGCACATGGCTACAAATGTGCAATACATACTGGAAGAAATTACCACCTTTTGCATGTTTGCAAGACCATTTTTCTGCATTTCTCAAGGCTAAAAGCAAAGCAGAAAGCTTAAGACCGAGCTACATAAGAATTCAGCAGTGAGAGCAGGGCTGCTGCCCAGGCCACGCGTGAAGGTCAAGATCTCCCCTGGCAGGCTGTGAGGACAGCACCAAGCTCTTGGGGAGGAAGAGCTTGTACATTTAAAAGAGCAGTTGTAAGAACCGTGAAGGCTCTTAGCTGCGTTGCATCAAGAGGGCATTTGGTGAATGGTATTAATCATGTCTCATCTCTTCCTAAGGACTACCATTTCCCTACCCTCAGAGCCCTGAGGCACGTCAGAAACAAAGCCAGGAACGGGAGGCTGTGTATCTGAGCCATCCGTGACGTGGAGAAAGTGTCACGGCAAGCTCTCAACTCCCAAGAACAAAGAGTATCCATGTCAGAACGGTATCTTCTGGTTTGTACTAACACTCGAAAAACAACAGAAAAATTGCGTAAAGAAATTCATCTCAGTGTGATGGAGTCAAACAGGAGCATCAGAGTAATTCAGAAGCTTAAGTCTTTTCAGAGTCATCACGCTTCATGTAAGACACCGCTTCATGATGAGAGACAACCTGCTGCTGCCCTTATCACAACTAATGCCCACCTTTGTGGGGCAGGGTGGCACCAGCAACGCACGATGGGAGAGTTCCCTCCTGCAGCAGCAGGTGGCCTTGTGCCACGCACAGGTTTTTACTGCATTTGGGTTCATATCTAGCTTCTCACAAGTACTTAGGTAACAGAATACACCACGAAATTTAATACGAATAAGTGCTTTAACATTTTGAGAAATTATTTGAGTTTCCTTTTTGAGGGAAAACAAAAGAAAAAATACAAGCAAGCAGTGATAATTCTTTCACAGGTTCGCTACACGTCGTTTATAAAACAGCCAATAAACACAGTCTCATTCAGTCACCCCTAAAACTCATTCACCTTAACTCTACTAAGGATATATCCAATCAACATTGCCGTGTCTCTCCAAGTTAAAAGAAATTAACTGCAAACAGGTCCTTTGCACTTTTTTGTTAGAAAACGAAAAAAGAAAAACAAAGAAACCGATCCCCCTCACCACCACACCACCCTCGCTTTACTTTGAGAATTCTCAGTTTGGTACGTTTCCAGTTACAAGGTCTTGGCTTCCGCTGAGCACAGTTTGAAATAAAATAATGCAGCTTGTTCCTACTGCTGGAACACGCCGAGCCGAGTGTGCAGGCAAGGAATCACTGGCTCCGGCCCAGCACTTCAAACCTGTCTTACACTGTCACTCCAATCTTGGAGCAGTTTATATATAAAGTTGTAAGATAAGAACACACAGTATGAATGCCCCTCCCTACCGAACAACCAGACATGCTTTTATCTTGGACAGAGGCAAAAGGAAGAGAAATAGCAGAAAGAGAGGAAAGACAACACAACCCTACTTGTGAAATGGCTCATTAAGGAAGGCAAAGTGACAGGTAAGTAATTCTTCTTGCCGGGCTCTGTCACAAAGGGAGAGTTAAACCAACCAACCACACAAATTGCGAAAGGCTTTGGGTAGCCATTCTCTTCTTTCCTCCTCTCTGATAATTTACTACTCTTCATTCGTGAGGTTTCTGAAATAGCCACCTCTCTCTTTCATTTTTTTCAGTTACCAGCCCCGGATGTATATTTCCTTATTTTAGTAGGGAGGATGTAAAATACTTGGCAGATACAAAAGTTTAGATTTCACAAGTTTTTTTTGATATTAAACTTCATCAAAGTTGAATTCTTTCAGTTAAATGTGAGATTGATTGTAAGCGTTTAATAACAATTCATAGGTCCCAGCGATTATTCTAACTCTCCTAGTTTCACTTACCTTTCACCACAAGACTGTAACAGCCTGAGATTAAGTACAAAGTCTTACTCTCTCTCATTTTCTCTGCTCTGTATCGACAGACCTTCCTTACATGATTTTATGTACATAATTGCAGCCTTCCATAGTATTTACAATTCCATGAAGCAGTTCTAATCTCAAATACAAAGCAGGTCATGGCCATACAGTAAGAGCCTGGATAGTAGCACATGAAAAGCTTGTACTTTAGAAAGGACCAGTCAAGTACTTAGTCCATAGAACTAGAAAGCAAAATTAGTTAAACCATCTTATGCTTGTTATTCATAAAGGAAAGCAATCGATACCCATTTAGAGAGCAAACAGAATGAAAATTTAACGTTTCCTTTATAAAAAAGAAAATCATGATCTTATTGACTGATAAACCTTGAAATGCATAAGATAAAACTCTGAACTAAATCAAGCTCTGTACTTGTTTTGATGTCCAGCCATTTTCAGAAGAGACTACTCTAGAGTGTTTGGTACCTTTCATCTCTCAGACACTTGATGGAGCCTAAGTAGCACTAAGATTACACTGTATCAAACAAAGCTGCAAAAACGTGGATTGTCAATGTATTTTAGCCCACTCCTTCGGCCCATCCAGAGCTGGCCACTGGAACATCCATTTGACACTAACACTTATCTATTTTTCTTCCCTATTTTATGAAAAAGAGACTTCTCTAAGGCATACATGTTTGTACGTTTACGCACCAAACAACCCCACGAATTCCTGTATCCAAAAAAACCTTTTTCATTGGAACATTAGAAGCCTACAGAAGTTCAGTAAAATCATCACATAGAACCACGGAACTGAGGTGAGGTTGAAGTTGGAAGGGAGACCTGGAGATCATCCGATCATTTTATACACATGACTGGCATTTTAAAAAGAGAACTGTGAACAGAAGAAATTATTCTTCATCTTACTTACAGTGCTCAGCTTACTACAGCAAATGAGGATGCGGCGTTCATACAGCATACTGGCGTAGAGATGCAGCATGTTGTTGACATCAACTGCTACAAAATACTCTGTCAGATTTCTCTGGGAAGAGAGAAAATAATTTTTGATTCATGATATTTCAAAACCAAGTGTCCTTAAAAAACCACAACCAACAAACCCAGATTTCATCCTCTTATTACATTACATCCAGTACTTGGCTTATCAAAAGCAAGCAGTATGTCACCTTACATCAGAGCACTTTCTAACTGCAGTATCTTTCCCCTAACTTTTGGGGAGCTAGGTCTTGGAATAGGAAAACTGATGATGTTTCACAAACACTTTCTGAAATACAAGACACTTCTCTGAGAAAAAATACATTCTGTCACTTTACGGATACTTCAAACACTGATTAAGTACTAAAAAGTTCTCACGACCCAACAATAAACCCTGCTCTCTCAGAGGACAATTCTAATATGACCCATTAAAATGTAAGCTCAGTCTATGCTAGAACAGTTCCGATAACTGGAAATACACACAGGCATTTAAGGCACAAGCTAAAACCAGTTACATGACTTGTCTGAACTCCTCGCTTGGCGCACTCTGACACATGTTGGCCCTTGCTGGAAGTCAGAAAGAGCTTCTTGGGGGCTGGGGAAACTGAGGAAGGAGAGAGAATTCTCCTTCTGAAAATGTCAGTGGATGCCCAACTCTGGTGAAGAGGCAGGATTCAAAGACACAATTTTACTTCAGTGGTCGGCATGTTTATATAGTATAAAGGAAGGAGAAGGATGTTGTAAGCAAAGGGCATTTGCCATCTGCCTTTACAGCAGGGACAGAAAGGCCAAGCCACAAGCAAGCACCACCAGCAAAACTTAACACGTGCACTGCCTGGGCAACACGGGCTTCTGCCATGCTTCTGCTGCTCAGAATCTCAAAAGGTACTTGTGTAAAAATTATCGGAAACAACTGAAATTCAAAAAAGAAAACAGAGCAAGCTGTGGTCGCTTCATCCCCACATCATCCCACCAGCCAGCAAGAGCAGCCATTCAGCATTACCAGCATAGCTGCCCTGGGCAGGCGCTGCAGGGGTATGAATCATGGATCATTTACTAAATATTTAAGATCTCTTCTAATAAACAGCAGAATGCAAGCCTGAGATCTTCACTATCAGAACTAGAACGGCACCGTGTAGGTAACTTGATCAAAATGCATTATATTCTCCAAGAACGAGGGGCTTTCACGGTGCAAGGCAAACTAAAAAAGGATTTTTTTGTATAGACAGTATTACGGTCGTAGAATTGTTGAAAAATACCTTTAAGTTCAAGCCTAGCCGTTAACCTAGCAACTATTTTCACTTCTTAAACGACAGAAATTTAAAAAAAGAGGGTGGGGCGATGGAGGAAAAGGTAATGCACACAAAAATGATGAATTAAGAAATTTGCTTCCAAATAACTTCTTACAGAAACGAAAGGGCTGCGACACGATAAAGACAGTCTTATACGAAAAGCACTTGAGAGCAAAATTAGATTAGTCATGAATTCAAGCGCAATCTTAATCATCATTAAAAAAAAAAGTGCAGAAAAGCAAAAAGCAAATATGATTTAGAAACTTAAAGAAGCTCAACAAAGCCTATTAGCACTTTTGACAGATCCAAAGATAACTCTAAACCCACCAATACTTGGCCTGAGAAGTCTGCCAAGATGCTTCATACTGTGCAAAAATATGTTCCACAGCTTGCCATCCAAACAGAAAGAACTAAAGGAAAATTAGGCATTGTATTTGGAAGACTTTGGTACCAGTACGTAGATAGATAAAAACTCAGCTTGTTACAGTTAGCTTCAAACACATTAATACAAAACAAGCTTGCAGGTCTTTGTTACAGAAATCCATAGCCACAGACAGGTATATTCAAAGAAGGAACAAAAAAAAAAAAAAAGCCAACACATTTTGCCAAAAACCTATTAAACTATCATGTACTTTTTCTGTATTTCTCATCCCATCTGTGCTGATTAGCATGATATTTTTGTCTAAACATAAGCTGTCTTCTCTACGGCTCCTCTTCCCCCTCTCACCCATCTTTCCACGACGCCAAAACACAGTGCGCATGACGACACAATTACTGCAAATAGTGTGAATTCAAAGAATTTGCAAACAGCACCGAACTCCCTTTGCTGCCACCCAAACCCAGGGCAGGGCAGCAGGAGCACACAGGCCCCACGCTCTGCCCGGGGACATGCACGCGTGTGCACGGAGGAGTTTATAAGGCAAAAAGATCCACTAGTGAGAGGAAAATAAGTCACTGGGACTTGATTTGCAACTGTTCTTTCATCGGGTTTATTGCCGAGAAATGCTGGCTTTGACACACAAGCGTACCTTCAGATGGAAAGGCTTAGAAGGTTTTAGTCTTCTCCGCTCTCAGAAATTTGCCAGTGACACCTGCGCAGCATGTGGGCTGTATGGTAATGTATCGATACTAAGGAAATTCACGTGTTAGCTCTAAGTTGTATTTATAAGAAAGCTGTCATCTCTGAAGATGGAATTGGGACTTACACATGTATTTTGAAAGACATGTCTCGTAAGTGACAAAACCATGAATGAGTTAAATAAATACAAATGAAAGCGTTCCAATTTGCCGTATAATTGTTGCGTATTTTGTTTCCTAGGATTTAAACCTTTTCTGGGGGAGGAAAAAGTAGGATTTGCAAAATAAAACATGGCAACAGGTATCCTCACTCCTCTCAAAACTCACTAAGAGTGCTACAAAATTCCCTTGAGCTCCTTCGAAAGTTCATTCCTAGGTCAATCCTCTAGGTGCTCATTTGCTGTCTAATATCAGTCAATGCACATGCACACTAACTTCTGAGATTAAAAAAAAGAGTAATATTCACATAGTTCTCTTCCTCTGTTATCTAATGAAGAAAAATGGGCATCAGAAGACATATATTATAATGACTGAAAAATCAAGCATTTTGAAATTACAGGACTTAGACTTAAATCTTTCGAAAAAGTGAACGCTTAGTTGTTACATAAAAGCGTCCACGCCAAATGTTTTAGTGACTCATTAAACATATTGATCTGACACAAAGTCAGATAATTCCAATAAGTGTGTTAACATTCCAGAGTTCTATGCAACTCTCCATTAATCACCACCTACAACTTCAAAGTTGTAGGCACTACTAACTTTTGTTAATAAGGATTTAAAAATGTAATTGCTGATAAGATACAGAATTCTGAATAAATTCAACCAATTTATTTAAATCCATGAAGATTTATGCTCATTTAATGTCCCTGCATTCCCTAATATGTTTCAATTCTCCATGAAAGCTGCATCAACAGACAGATAAAATCCTCCTAAGAAATGACACGATATTCATGAGAAACATATCAAACAAAGGAAACGCCTGAGAAATACAAGACAGTCAACTGCCACGGCAGTTTGACCAATGGATTTGATTTCGAGCATTTTTTTCTTACAGTAAGCCCTAGCTTTTTTTAATTTGGGTACGCGTATTTGTTAACTGCACAAAACGTTCTTCCCGCCCTGCTCCCAGCAGTGCCCCGGTTCGCCCCAGCGAGGAGCCCACCCTTCCCAGTTCGCTCCACGGAGCAGCCCCAGCCCCGCTGAGGCATGTCAGCCCCACTCACTCCATCACTCCCTGGGGATGCTTTTCAGCATCACATGGCACTCCCGCCCAGGAAGGCTGAGCCTTCAGCTTTCAAAGGGTTTCCAACTCCTCCTGGCCCAAGGCCTCTGCTTTATAACAGCCTTTGATTCACGCACATTCATCATGTCTCCTGCTCAAATGTTTTGGGAAGCTGACTCCTACCTTCGAACAGACAGGGCACGGCACCAGCAGACGTAGCCAGCAGAGCAGAAGTACGGCTCTGCTTCCTGGAGCCGTCGCTGTGCACGGCGTTATTAAGCTGTTCCATGTCAGTTAAAGCAGGCCCAAGGCAGATGAGCTACTTTCAATCCCTGCCACTGGTTTCTTACCATTACCAGCTCATTTCTCTCTGCCCTCCAACTTGCCAGCCAGCAAAACAGGAATAAACTTCCTTCCTTGCTCTCCAGGCAATTTGAGGCTCATCAAACAAAAATTGTTAAAGTTGGAGACGATTAGCAGAGAAGAAATGAACATAAACTAGAAACCCTATAAACAAGTAACTTCATGCCAGTATTAGGACAAGATTCGATAGCTGGTTTAGATTCAGGAATTGACTCTTGAATTACGCTTAATGTATCACATTTCTATAACAATAAAGCACCTTAGAAGAAACTGCACATCTATTAAATTAGCTGACAGGATACACGTCAGTATGAAAAGTCTACAACACGGAAAAGCCAGCAACAATGTTTTAAAACAGAAACAAAAAGCCCCAAATGTTATCTGCTATACAAATCAAACACAAATGAGACGAAATGTCTTAGCGATTCCCTTTTCTTTCTTTCTTTCATGCCATAAATTGAGGTATATGGTGCTAAGGCAGACCGCAAAATGTTCAAGAAAGAAAGCTGAGATGTCAGGCACAGAAATTTGGCTAAGAGACATAGCAGGAGCATATTAAAGAGTATTTAAGAGAAGCAAATGCCAGCATTGTCTTCCCACAGACCTATCATCTGGCTAGAAATCTGAGGCGTGCTGAAACACACATAACTTTGTGAGGCTTAAAAAGTCTCTGCAAAGAAGCGGCCCTAAAGAAACCAGGTATGCTTGACATTTTCAGAAAGTCCTCTAACAAACGGGGCCCTCTTCCTGGTCTCTTGTGCCACTTGGAGAAGGTTCTCGCTGTATGATTAGCAGATTTGCTAATGAATCTGTCCATCAGTGCTTTATCCTTAATACATCTCAAGCTTTGAATCACAAATGCAGATTGTCAGCTCGAATGTTACGTCTGGAAGATGCCATCACGAAGAAAAGAATGACTGCCCAAGCGGCTTTAAAGCAAAGGCCCCAGATGTTCTTCTGAATCTGCACAATAAGTTCTAAGTAAGGGTATATATCTGAATTCTGACAGCATCTTAAAGAACACGGCAAGTTAATACCAAAGTGGTATTTGATCCTTCTCAAATACTAGCAATACAGATGTCTGATACTCCAGTGAAGACGTTGAGTATCAAGACTATATCCTTGGCTTGACTAATAAGTAGGCATAACACTTTATTAAATAAAATCAACATATTGTATGTAATTTTATTTGAAACAATGTTTCATTTCAAACCACTATGTTATCTCTCTCCAGCAATTACTTCCCAAGTTTAGTTTTCAGTCTCACACCTCAAGTAAAGCAATAAAATTATGTAAACAGTGCGAGGTCAGCAAGGGGAGAACAAAATGTCAATCTGGATGCAGAAGAAAAAAAAAAACCTTCTTCTTTAGTTGTGAAATTATTAAGTTGCCTTTAAAACAGTACTTCTTTGGCACTTAAAAGACAAAAACAGACCCTGATTCAAGTTAGCTATAAAGGTGAAACATCCCAGCAGATTCTTGTCGCTTTTTTGATATAAATAAAGTCTTGGTAAAGCAGGTGAGATTCCTTCCTATCGTAATCCTACATTTTTATGTAAAGGATGACTTTTGCAGTACTCGCTCAAATGGCAATCACGACACTGCCTTGAGATGACTTCCAAGATTTTTTCATAGGCTTATTGCACAAATTAACTCCATCATTGTTCTCTGAAACGCCAGCGCACCGTTACACACGCTTACCAGATCACTGGTCTTTCCCAATTTCAAGTAGGCTCAAACTTAATACAACCAAGAAATCATAGAACGTTAACAGCAAGTACTAACAGAGAGTATATTTTTTAAGCAAATACCCTGACATACAGTTTACAGATAATTATGCTGTCAATTTCTTGTTCATTTGGTATCTTTCCTTAATTGAAATGGCAAACATTAAATCCTACTGTTCTGCTGTACTTCCAAAGGCCTCTTACTCATGTACTTCTGTAGTTAGCAACAGAATGTTTTTCGCCCAATACTTATTATAAATTAACCAGCTAAAGTTCACTTCAACAGCCAGCAATATTTTACAGAATAGAATCTATTACTAGGCCAAACAGAGGTAACCATTGTTATCTACTTTGCTGCTGACGTGAAACAGAAATGGCAAAGTGCACGTTCTCCAGAGTACTCACATTTTCAGGTATACTCGGAAGCTCTCTGATGTCAGGCACAGTAAAGTAAGAGTGCTAAAAAAAGAGCAAATATTGATTATTGTCATATTGTCAAAAGTAATCTAAACTTACTGCACGGTATTAGTAACAGCAGTAATAGCAGGTTTTCGGCTAAGTAAAAAGGACAGAACATTTGTTGCCAGCTACCAGCATGACTTCTTTGTCATGGACTTCAGAAGTGGGATTCTCAGATACAATGTGCAATACTGAGACAGAGAGTGTCAAATCCTCCCGAAAATTTCTATTACAGTGTTTTTGTTGTTCAGAGACGCGGCCATAGGCTCACCCAACACGACATACACCAAGGCAAGCCCAAGGCAGTCTGTAACTCAGGCCAGCCCTCCTCAGCCACTGCAGGTTGCATGAAGGACTAAAGGAGATAGTGGCGAGCAGGTCCTTTGCTGACTTACAGCATCAGTGACTTTCATTCGAGACAACGGTGAAATTATGGAAATTTACCCAGAAATGCTTCCCAAAGTTTTAAGCCTACTTACCTGAAAAATATTACTAAAGTTCTAGATCACTCTATACACCTTAAAACCCACATTTTGTCAGGCTGCATCGGTCTCACAATTTCATAATCCCTTTTTTTTTTTTTTTAATCGTCCACATTCCAAGAGACTCTAGTGTCCAACCTGACCATGCACAACTTGCATGATTCTTGGTTAGGGCTTTGGGGAAGGAGAGGGGAGAATGCAACTAAACAACTTTTTAAAATCTATGTTGTATATAATTTATATTTTAAGATTTTCACAATTTGTCTTAGGGCTAATTATTAATTACTTGCTGAAGCTTTGAAGGCTGTTATATTCTTGGCATGGTTCCACAACTGGCACAATTTTCTCGTATATATATATACATATATATATTTCAGACATTTCAGTGCTTCATGAACAGTCTATAACCTGAAATAGCAAGCGGGTCTAACAGCTACGCAGAATATAGACACAAAACATATAAAAATAATTTTTTGCTTTTTGATCTATCACTGGTTTAGTTCGGTTGAAAGGATGCAATGCAAAGATACAGGAACAGCATACACAACTCTGTTGCATACAGGAACCTTGCCCCGACCCCAAAATAGGCTTATAAACAGCCAAAATAAAATGCGTAACGACACCGCAGCCAACAGTCCCTTGGCTGCTTTTTTATATCCTTTCTTGCTTCATCGCCCACGAAATGTCTGAGACAAGGGGAGACCGGCAGCATTCCTTGAAACCACTGGTATGAAAAAACTGAAATATCCCAACTGATCATTGCCGTTTGAGACAGCTCGTCCCCTCAAACAGAGCTGCTGCTCGGAAAGAGCCAGCCTCAAGAGCACTGGGACACCTCCAGTGCCAGCTGGTGACCTCGCAAGGCCGAGCAACTGTTACCTGTCGACCGACATTCCAGGGTGAAGTGACGAGCGTGGGCTGCTCGTTGCCAAGAAGTATTGTAGAAGAAGGAGTAAAGGAATCGAGAGGGAGAAGAGAACTGTGGCTGCACACACCACTAGTTTCCATGTGAACTCTAAATGACTAATTGGCAACTGCAGTAACATGCATCGTAAGTATTTTTTCACCAGAGCCTGGAACCCGAGGTTGTTCTGCAAAAATTAATTTGAAGACAAAACCCCCAAAAGAGTGCATTCAAAACACAATCCCATCAATAAAGTCCCACATCTATTCTTTCAATGTTGATTAATTTTCTCACAAGACATAAAAATGAAATAAATCCTTTTTTTCGTGTGAGGTTTTTTTCTTAGAGGGAGAACGAGAAGTAATCAGAAAATATGGTAATACTCAAAATGCTGCTATGACAAATACGTGACTGTTCACTTTCCAGCCTTGTCCCCCTTGCATACTTGCAAGGTCCAGGAGTTCTGCAGAAATGTGGGCAATAAATGTCACGTTGCTGCTCTGTGACCTCTTGCAGGTCACAGACGATACGGTGGGAAACGTCCATGGGGAATATGCACAGTCTCCCTCCAATCAAAGAACAGCACTGCAAAGACATCTGAGGTTAAGGAAAGGGAAACAGAGGGCCCCAAATGTGAAAAGGATAATTTCAGAGCTCTGTGTCCCCACAGGAAAACAACATCCGAGTACCAAGCTCCAAAAAGGAGAATTGCTTTTGACATTCCGCTATTATGATATGTAATGAAAATTAAAGCACCTTGGTTTGTGTCTCTCCCACTTCACTTACCACTCCGAGATGAACAGAGGTTCCTGGCTCAGGGATGGCAAGCTTATGAAACGTTTCTAGGAGCTCACTCCTTTGACTATCCTGAAATAAGAGGGGAAAAAAAAAAAAAGGAACAGTAAGTAGGCATTGCTATAACAAGCCTAATTCCAAGAGGGAAGGGCAATGTTTGTGGAATTGGGGGCTTAGAGAACTTGCAAGTGCAAAGAAAAATGTGAAAATAGAATTATACATTAGACTAGTAGAACAGAAATAAATGTAGTTTCCTCTGACAGCTGGGTTTTATAACATGACTCTTTTAGAATACATTTTTCATAGGTATTTTTACATATTTCCTCAACCTACTGAGTCACCAAGCTATGCACTACATAGTTACTCAGCTCAGAGCAAGCTCGTTTGCACTGCAAGTCCTGAACAACAAGTCTCTAGCATAAAGCCAAATGTATTTAATCCATCTGACGAAGATGGGATGCTAAGTGCTTCTGCCTCAAAAGTGACTGATTCTGACAAATGCAAAATACAGTTATTGACACTAAATGGTAACAAATCAAAGCAGCAACCTAACCGGGAAGATTATACTTTTTAAATACATGAAACTGGGCTAGGTGCTGCAATGATAGATGTGATTTCTCTGTGTCATGTATTATCATTTATAAACCTAGAAGCAAATGTTAATGGCTCAAATTTTCATTGTCTCAAATTTTCATTGTCTCAAGACTTAATTTTCCTTTGTTTTGATTTAAAAGCAAAACAGCCTCTGAAGGCTCGATGCTGCATTTTGCAAAGTAAGCTCAGTTTTACACTTACTTTACACGACAAGTAAACTTGGCCAGACACCCAAGAAAGACGTGTGAAACGTTGCAATACGGGAACTGCACAGATGCGCTGAACACCGCTGAGGTAAGCAAAACGCCAGCACAGTACGGGTGACTGCAGGGAAACCATCAGCTTGTCTTGGACCCACAGTCACACTCTTGGACTTTATTTTTTACCAAATATAATTTAAAAGCGTAGTTATTTTTCAAGGGCACTTGCCAAGCTTTCAGCTTTCAGCTTGGCTGGATATGATCTTCTACATTACTGCATCGTACAGATTAACAATTCACATGGCACTTGTTAAACCATCTTGGTTTTACCTTCTCTCCCTCGTTTGACATTGGGGCAAGGAAATGAAGGGTTAGTACTTTAGAATAATACCTGTCCTTTTGCTGAGTAATCTGCCAAGATATTGAGCAGCTTATAAAAGACTTCAAACCATGGGAGGTAACTGAAACAAAAAAAAAAGAAAGAAAAAGCATACATTTAACTTGCTAAATCTCAGGTAATAAATCCAAGATTGCTGGCCTTTACTCTACAGACGCATCCACTGGTCATGACACTTAGTAAGTATCTGTTAGGAAAAACAGATCAGAGGTCCCACTGAAGAAGACCACTGCCAGGAGGCTGAAGCACCCCTCTTCCTTCAGGATTTCCTCCTCCCCAGCGCTCCCAGACACCTGCAGGCACTGAACACCAGGCGCAGCTCCAGCTCTAACCAGACTCTAACTGGTCCCAGCCCAGTCAGCGCTGGGAGCTCACCCTCCTCCTCGCCCGTACGTAACAAACGTACCATCCAATGGAAGTGCTTAACCCGTGAGATAAATGCACAGCAATGTTCATGGAGGGCACAACATCTGTAATCGCAATCATTCCCCAAAGCGTACGTTGAACAACCAGTCTTCTGTGCAGCTGCTGAGGGTCCTGCTAACCCGGAGCCAGGCGGCTGCGTTGGGTTTAAATCCCCATCCAACTGGATTGTTTAAACTGAATAACCAGCATCTCAGTTTTCAACTGTTGTCAAATCTTATTACATCATTCTATCTAGCCAAGCTCTTAGGTCAAATAGAAATTATTCCCCCAGTAAATTTGCACTCAATTTACAAAAGAAATAAAGAAACAAAATTAAAAGACAAATACACAGAAAAATCACATTCTTTTCACTTACATTACTTTTTCACAGCTAAGACTTTACATTATGCTTTGGTATGATTTTGTATTCTACTTTCACGGCACAGTTCTTTATTTCAATTCCTTTTTAAATATCAGCAAGGAATTTCCCCTCGGCTGCAGCAAATAGGAAAGTAAGTTCGCGTGATGCACAAAGTGATTCTTCTTTTAATCACAGATGCTTTCTGAAGCAAATGGATTCTATTTTGATACAGTTAGACAGGATTTAAAGGTTTTATAAAATATGACTTCATCCTGACAACTATAACGGAGTGCCCCGTGGTTCCTGACTGTACAGCTCTTGGTAATAAATGAAGTGAGAAGCTACATAGGAGACAGATAAAGTCAATGGCACTCCATCATTAACATTTGTTTGAAGCCTGCAAATGCTACTGTAAAATGTAAGTAGCTTATCAAAATACACTGATAAGCAACTTAACTTTTCATGTTATATGACAGTATTATCATTTAAATTAATATGCTCCAAGCATCTTTACAAACTCTGTATTAGAATAGAGCAGAAAGACAGACAATTACCACTTTAAACAGCATTTAAGTCTGGCATTATATTGTAAACAATAAAGAAGGATTAGTTTGAAGATAAGTTTCTTTCTTTCTGTTTAGTTAAATAAACTTCGGCAGAGCTAAAAGCCATTAGGAGAGTAACAAGAAATCCTCTCAAAACATATCTGCTAAGTAGAGATTAAGAACCCAGTAAACAAATCCTTGCAAGGCATCTATCAAAAGAGTCTGAAAAGACAGAAAACCAAGAAGGCAGAAAGCTCCTGGGCAGGATGAAACCAAACCTCATTTGCTGCTTAATTGCTCAGGGACCTCACTGGACGACATTAACAGATTCAAACCAAGAATCTTTTAAAATCTTATTGTGTCTCTAAGGTGCGTGGCAGTATAAAAGCAGTAGGTGAGAGGAAGCCACCTCAGGTCCTGGCACGCTGGAGCCGCCGCTCACCTGGAGCCCAGCGCCTGCCGCTGAGGACGGACCCGGCTCTCGGCAAGCGGGACAATGCCGAGCTCCAAAACCAGGGTCAGCCTGGGTTCTGCCTTCAAAAGCTTTACTCACCTGTCCCATCGAGGGCCTGTTTGTTCCCAGCTAAACCTCACCTCGCCACGGATTCAAGGGAGTTCTCTTTTTTCAAGGCAAGACACCAAACATGACAGGTCTTGCCTTGAAAATACTCCATCTAAACGAAACTTTAATTCTTTCCCTCAGCATCCAGAAAACAGCTTCTATGATTCTAATAAAAACAGCCCCTGAAGACTCATATTCACAGAGCATCAAAACACCCACAACCCCTCCAAAGGGGACCCCCAGCAAAAGGGAAGGTACAGCCCTAGTCCTGCTCGACTTGCTCCTTGCTGCCTTTCCCTTTTCTCTTCACTAGTATCTCATAACGAAGGGCATTATTGATTGACCTTTGGTTAACGCTAACTCTTTCTTATTTTAATCCACGTATTCCAAACCATGGTTTGGCATCTCAGCATAACCTCTTCTTTTTCCTTTGTCGTTGCAGAATTTGGGATCTCTCTCATCCCGAAAGCTTTGGAAATGTTAGAAAACTAATTTATCCTGCCGTCTTCAATACTTTTTCTTCATCACTTATTCCATGTGTTTACTGCTCATACGTGAAACAGTTCTGCTTTTCCTAGATCAAATTGTGACCACTTAAAGTTGCAAAAAAACCCCACAACACCCAAACAACAAAAAACCCAAATCAAGAAACGCAGTTGCCTGCATTTGTTTCTAGATCTCTCCCAAAAGGAAAAAAGAAAAAGATGTGGATTCTTTCCGTACAAAAAACAAATCCTCAAGGACGTCTTTAAACACCCTCTCCAAAAAAAAAATGGAGGTTGAATTTATAACCAAAAACTTTCTGTACCACATGCAACTTAAGTAGCACAACTGGTAGCACTACTGAAGATTTATGGCTTATGACTTGCTCATATTTAATTTGTAACCAAACACTTCCCCTTCCTCTTAGCTACCTTAGAACTTTTGATTAACTCTTGTTTTCACAGGTCAGAGGTTAAACAAAGGAAGGGAAGCACTCCGGAGTGAAATTGCCCAGAGCACCACAGCCTGCGAGCGCACGCACCCGCGCGCACACATCCCCCTCCCAGCAACATCAAAAAAGCCATAGGCTGCAGAGTCTTCAAGGGAGTTGAAGTTCAAAGACTCTGATAAGCACAAATCAGATTGTGGTTGAGAAGTAAACAAAAATAAAAGGGGCAATCTCATTTATAATTTTTTTTTAAAAATTTACACTCATTTTCTGTTTCCTCACACACACAAAGTGGCATATTTGCCCCAAATCATGAGAATCAAATTAAAGCCTAATTGAATCAGGCTTCTTCAAGCTGAGAGATGGGTTTAGCCCTCTGCTTCCCTCTCCCTCTGCCCCCTCCGTGTGCGCTGGATGCAGCCTCGGTGCTGGAGACAGGCCAGCCTGACGGGAAACAAGCACGAGCACAGGAAAACTGCTTATTATGCTACATAAGGTCTGCACAAACTCCGCTGCACAAGTTGCACAGTACCTTATTCAGTAACTCGTATGTCATCACCTTTTTAGTGCGCTCCTTGAAAGTACAAAACATCATCAGTTACATGTGTGGTAGCAATGAGGGTCAGCCCAAACGCCAAGACAACAGCGCTGCACCGCAGCTTGTACATACCAACATTTCCAAAAGGCGCTGCTTGTCGAGCACCGGTGGTGCAAACCCAAGCACCGACAGGCCAGGCTGAGACACCAGCAGCACACGAGCACGAGAACGGAGCCAGCAATCCCCGCGGGCAGCGCGCCTGCCGTCACAAAGAGGGTCACCTCTACTACAGCGACTTGCCCCGGGAAGCAGGGCCTTGAGCAGCCGAGGGCAGAGTGAGCGGAGGCGCCGGGGACGGAGAAGGCCGGGGTTGACCGGCGCTCCGCCAGCTCGCTGCCAGCGCTGCCCTCGCACGTCCCATCGGGGCTTCACAAGTCGTGCTGCACAGAAATGTCATCGCCCCACAGCAGCTACCGCGCGGATGAAAACGCTGTACCGCAGTCGAGTGGGCTTTGGATTTTTCAGCGTATTAACCAACTCGTGTGCTGCCATACAGGCGAGGAAGAAACTACTCTATGCCAGCAGCACGTGAGGTCAGGTTTTCTGATCTCCAGAAAGGACTGCGACCAACACGGGAGAATGTTAAGCAAGCACTTTGGAATTAAAGCAACTGCCCTTATCCACACATATACATCCAGACCCACACACACAAAGCACAGACGTGCTTGTGTTGCCACCCCCCAGCAAGAAGGATGCAGGAAAAAGCAACCCAACAGAATCCCCTCTAGTCAAGTGGCCACTAATAAAATCAAGGAGAAGAGTGGATTTCCAGGATCCTCTGACTCTCATTAAACCCTTAATACAAAAGCTTTTGAAAACAAAAATAAAACTATTATTAGCATTGCTTACAATCAACTTTCTTTTTTAAAAATAATAAGAAATACCCCCTCCAGTTGACTCACACCAATGAGCATTAATTGAAACAAACTCTTTTAACTTAGCCAGGTCAAATAGTATCTATGGATATAAAGCAGAAAGGCTACAATAGCACATCATATACAGAATGAGATGATAGCTCTATTACAGTGATTGCCTGTACGTAAAGACATTAACTAATTTAGTCAAATGGAATTGTCCAACAGTAAATAAGAAAACACAACATCTCTAAGAACGGCAAAGGGGAAATCTTTAAGCAACATGCTCCAGTTAATTCTTTAGAAAGTGAAAGATGCCTTCCTCAAGAAAAAGCAGCTGTTTCTTACCCAGTTCTGAAGCATTACTAATGAATAGAGGTTTGATAATAAATATACTTTCTTTGAAATGTGAAAATTTCACCGTTATCATTTCTTTTGATATTTCTTGAGCACTCAGGAGAATGAAGGAGAGTCCTAAGTTACAGCACGCACCACTCTAAATCACTGCAGCTATCTCACGAGCACCATGGACATCCAAGGTCAAGTGTAAAGGGAGGCTCAGCAAACAGACAAACATGGTATGCAACTAGGAATTTTGCTTACTGCTAAAAAGGTAAATCTCCATGATGAGCATCGCCTTACCTCATAAAATTTCTAGAGTACTGGAACAAGTTCCAGGCTGTATATCGGCACATATATCTTTGTCACTGGAAATGACTGAGACCACGTACCAGAGTACCATCCACACATTTAACGCGGCATCTCCTAATTGACTGAGCTGTAAGCACACATAACTTTTATTCCTTCC